CCAACTACCATGTAGACACATCACCATCTCTGTGTTTTTTCTCTTACAACTTTCACAGACGTGTGCTATTGTAATTCTTGTGAGAAGTGGGAAGTTCCAACTCGCAATCTCTTCCTAAAAAAAGCACAATATAAAACCATTTGCAATTTTCTTGCACATTCAATCTAACCGAACTAAAAATCTTTCTGCAAATTCAATCTAACCCAACTAAAAACTTTTTGCGCATTCACCCGTGTCTGACAAACCCTCAAGGTGTTTGCTTTGTGAACCTGCAACTTCAGAGAAGTATGGAACTCAGAGAACTCTCAAGGTGTCTAGCAAACTCTCTAGCCGTCTGCTTTCTTAAATTGTAACTTCAAAAGTCTGCAATTCAAAGAATTTTGTAACAAGTATACTACTCAGAAAAGTCTTAACTTCAGCATTGGTGTTGCATTGAAGGTCTCCGGCTCAACTAACTTTCAATCGGTTAGTTTATTATCATGCTATATTTTTTATTATTATTTTAATAGTTATTTAATGTTTAATTGGGTATCATTATTTGTTCAATAGTTTTGAGTTATTTCAATTTATTTCAATCTGTCTTTTAATGATCGCCGACCACCGGCGATCGTTTATGGCTAGCGGCAGTGGCGTGATGTTAATAGAATGGAGTTTATTTATGATCGGCCAGCAGTTTAAAGAAACGGTTGTGGCCAGTCAACAGTATCTTTATGGCCAGTTTGTAGTTAGTTGTCTTTCAATTTTTCTTTTTCCATTTATTTTATCTGTTATCGTGTAATATTTTTTACATGTTATTTTGTTGAAATGGGTGGTTATTTTTGGCCTGTCGAAGGCCTCTCTGTTTTCGTCGCTCTAACGAGCGAACAAAAATGCCTTCGGGTCAAGAAAGTGAAGGCATCTGGTGTTTCAGGTCGATTCTTATCTTGCTCCATATTCGCTCTGTTTAATATATTGCTTTGGGCCGGTTCATGTGTTCATTAGTCAAATCGGTTTAATGCATTTAAAGAAAAACCGGTTTTATTAAATAAGTATTTAATTAATGATTTTATTATTATAATTAAAATTTATAATGTATTTAAAGATTAATTAAAATATAATATTTACTTAATGATTATTATTATTAATTAATTATTATTTCTGTCTATTTATTAATTATTATTTTGAAATCATTACTTTTAGTTAATAAGTAGTCGTCTTCTCAGACGACGTCTCACTCTAAACTAAATCAACGGTGGGCTACACATAGTTCATATGACCATCCCGGCCACCGGCGGCCACTCATATGTGATCGCCGGTGATCGGCGATCTCATCTAACTCTAAAAAGCAAACGCCGGTCGCCTGTAGTAAATAGTAACCTGATCATTTTCTTCTCAGGCCAACCTGTCTTCTCAAGCGCCGTTTTGCAATAACAATAAACTAGTGAAAGGGGCCTTACTTCGCAGGGGCTGGAATGGAACTATCAACTCGTCAACCCGTTGGTTCGGTCTTTGGCAAAAAATCGTTGAATCAGTCAATGACCCATTGATCTAAGCAATCAAACCACTGACCCGTTGACATGTTCAATGGTTTTTGGTTGTTTTTTATTTTTTTAATCGGCCATCTAGGCAATCGGTTCTGCTTTATCCTAATCTTGGTCCGTAGCAAAAAATCGTTGAATCGGTCAATGACCCATTGACTTGGGCGATCAAACCGTTGACCCGTTCAATGGTATTTGGTCATTTTTTTTTTATTTTTTAATTTTATTATCAAAATGGGCCATCTGTTCGAACTGAATAGTCGAACCATTGACCCAAAAATCGGTGGCCAGAACAGTTCCGTTTTCAGGTTGTATAAGTCATACGCTCGAATGAAATAACATGTATGGTAATGCTTAATGGACCTCACACACTCAATTTTTTTCATATAATTTTTGTTGTCAGAATGGGTCATCCGTTTTTTTTTTAATTGGAAATTGTCCAAGAAACCAGTTCCGTTTTACCACAGTCTTGGTCCCTGGCCAAAAACCATTGAATCGGTCAACGACCCATTGACCTGAGTGGTCGAACCGTCAACTCATCAACCCATTCAATGGTTTTTAGCTGTTTTCTTTTTATTTTTTTAATTTTCGTTGTTAGAACGAGTTGTCCGTTCGAACCGGATGGTCGAATCATCGACCCAAAAACCGGTGGCCAGAACGGTTCCATTTTTGGGTCGTATGAGTCACACGCTCGAATGACATAACATGTATGATATTGCTCAATGAACCTCACACACTCAATTTTTTGCTTGTAATTTTTGTTGTTAGAATGGACTTTTTGTTCGAACTGGACGATCGAACCGCTGACCTGAAAACCAGTGGCCAAAACGGTTCTGTAAATTTTTGCTTATAATTTTTTGTTGTCAGAACGGGCCGTCCGTTCGAACCGAACGGCCGAACCATCGATCCAAAAACTGGTGGCCAAAATGGTTCCTTTTTCGGGTCGTATGAGTCACACGCTCAAATGACATAACACGTATGATACTACTTAATAGACCTCACAAACTCAATTTTTTGCCTATAATTTTTGTTAGAACGGGTTGTCCGTTCGAACTAGATGATCGAACTGTCGACCCAAAAACCGGTGGCCAAAATGGTTCCATAATTTTTTGCTTGTAATTTTTGTTGTCAGAACAGGCCATCCGTTCGAACCGAACGGTCGAACAGTCGATTGTCAAAATGTTATTAATAACATTTATCAATAATAGTAAGTAATTATACTATTTAATTAAATAATCATTAATGATAGTTTTAATAATATTATTTAGTTATTTTTAATATAACAATAATTATTAAATTTATGAATAGGATTTATTAACAATATTCATTAAATTAATAATTACCAAAATTAAATTAAATTAACAGTATTTATTAGTAATAGTCAATAATTATAATATTTTATTAAATAATCAATAACAATACTTTTAATAACATTTTTAATTATTTTGAATATAACAATGATTACTATATTGATTAATAGTATTTATAATTTTAATTTAAAGTAAAATTTAAGTAAATATCTATTTATTAAAAATATTTATAATAATAGTAATTATGAATTATAATCACTAATTATATATATATATATATATTAAATTACTATAATAATCAGTAATTATTAAAATTGGGTTACTAAATTTATTAACAATATTTTTAATTATTTTGAATATAACAATAATTACTATATTTATTAACTGTATTTATTAATAACGGTATTTATAATTTTAATTTAAAGTAAAATTTAAGTAAATATCTGGTTATTAACAATATTTATAATAAAAGTAATTATTAATTATAATCACTAATTATATATTTATTAAATTACTGTAATAATTAGTAATTATTAAAATTTGGTTACTAAATTTATTAATAGTAATTTTTAATAACAATATTTATTATTTTAATTCAAAGTAACATTTTTTTTTATAGAAACCAAGAAGGGCTACACAAGACGGGGGGTAGCACGTCCCCATAAATCAAACTTACAATACAAGCTAGATTCAAGGAAGATCACTAAGATTGAGACTTACTGTACCTTGTAGGGACGAAAAGGCTTGATTGACGAGCCAGTTTGCCGCTTGATTAGCTTCCCGATAGACATGATTGTAGACCAAGTCTTCGTTTGCTCGATTCTTCAAATCGAAACACTCTTCAATGATGTTCTGAAGGTTCCAGGGGGGATCGATGAGTCATTTCAAACAAAAAATCATGATCAAGGAGTCTCCTTCAATGACGATGGAATGGTTTGGGAAATTCATTGCCAAGTTGTGGGCCTCCCACGCGGCCCAAGCTTCCGCCAAGTTGATTGTCGTAGAACTTAAGTGGTAAGCCTTGTAATCTACCACCTCACCCATGAAGTTCCTAACTATGGCTGCGATTGAGCACAACCCATTGTTTAGCCGGGACGCATCGAAGTTAATTTTGATAGTACCAATTTTTAGAGTTTGCCACACAACATATTTGCACGACTTATGGGATCTACCCCATTAGTCTTCAAATTGGTTTCATAGTATTCTGGAAAGGCTGATATAGCTCTTTCAATCACCACTTTTCTCTTACATTGTTTCCTCCATTTGAATTTTTCTTACCAATTTTAAGCCACCAATCTTCCAATGAAATATTAAATCCTAAAGGACCCTCCAAAATGGGATTTATTGCATCCAAAATTTGTTTAATAACTGTACAATTTTTAAAAATATGATTCACATCCTCGTTATCTCCACAGAAACTACATTTTCCATCCACACTTAAACCTCTATTTTGCAAAAGTAATTTTATTGGGAGTCTTTTATTAAGTAGAAGATAGAGAAAAGTTTTCAATTTTGGTGGACAATTAACCTTCCAAACAGTCGAATTCTACTTTGGGTTCAACTCTTCATGAATAGATAAGTTACATTTTAATTTATAAGTAGACTTGATTGAGAATTTTTCATCACAGATAAGTCTCCACACTAATTTATCTTCTTTTTTATTTGAGAGGATAAAGATAGATTTTATTTTCCCCAAATAGGAACCAAGCTACAAATTCTATTTTCAATCCATACACTCTTATTCTCACTGAGAAAGAGATTATCATTTTCAATCCAATAAAAAAGAATAATTTAGTCGAAAGAGGTATTGCCAACCCATGTATCTTTCGGACGCTACTACCAAAAAAATATTCATTTTGGACACGGTTTTAGAGATTATCATTTCAGCCGGTTGCAGGTTTATTCCTCCAACTCAACACCGGTGATGTGTCGAAATGTCACCGGACTGAGAGAAAATCCATTGGCTTGTGAATCGTGACATAACGAACGCGAGTTTTTTTTTGTTTTTATTTGAATAAATAACGAATACGAGTCGGCGATGGAAATAAGAACCTTTTTTAATAATTTTCAAAGTTGGCGTGCCCGTGTTTCGTTGAGTCCGGATATGCTCCTCACAATGCGCGCCTCACACACAAGAATACCATGCAAACGATATTCTCTACAGCCGTTCGAACTCGGAACTCGAAAGGTTCTCCCTACTTTCCAACATTTCTTAGTTGGTGTCTTGGTGATGTCTTCGGGTTTCGCCTTCGGCCTTGTAACTTGTACCTTAAACCCCTAAAAACTGTTGTTACCCGAAAACCCTAATCTTTATTCGAATTGTACTCGTGTTTCGTTTTGAGTTTCATCTCTCTCTCTCTCTCTTTTTTTTCATTGTATTATTTGATCTCTGATGTATGTGATTTGATTTCTATCCGTCTAATCGTCTCTAGGAATTGATCATTTCGAAGTTCCCTTCTTCTAAGTTTTTCCACCAAATTAACAGAAACTTCCATGGCTTCTAAGATTGGTTTGCGATTTGGATCCCGCCTACGCAGCGCCTTTTCTCGGATTCCTGTCCACCGCCGGGCTCCTTTCGTTGCCGTTCTGGAATCTCCATCGTTCATTGACTCACCTCTCCCCTATCTTCCTGCAGTTCCCGTCGAGTTTCCGTTCTATAGTGCTGGATTCCGGTACCTGTCGACCCTCCGTCGCCAACCTGTTCGAACTCGAACCGTAGACATCGGCGCTAAAGCTCGGCAGCTCCAGAACCGCCGGCTCTGGACATACGCCCTGACTTTTAGCTGTATTGCTGGATTCATTATTATCGTCTTGAACAACTTCCAGGACCAATTGGTTTTCTATGTCACCCCCACAGACGCCCTCGAGAAATTCTCGGTGAATCCTTCGAAGAACAAGTTCAGGTTGGGTGGATTGGTTCTTGAAGGGAGCGTGGTTCAGCCCGCTTCGTCGCCTGATATGGAATTTGTGATTACGGATTTGATCACCGATATTTTGGTCCGGTACCAAGGCTCGCTTCCTGATTTGTTCAGAGAAGGGCACTCAGTGGTTGTTGAGGGCTTCATTCGCCCATTCACGGACGAGAATCGGGAGCAGTTGGCCTCGGCGGGGAAGGCTGTTTCAGCCAAAGCCAGGAGTGGGGAGTGTTACTTCGCGGCCACTGAGGTACTTGCTAAGCACGACGAAAAATACATGCCGAAGGAGGTTGCAGCAGCGATAGAGAAAAACAAAGCAAAAATTGAGGCCGAGTCGGAGAAAGTACGAGCAAGGGAGAGTTGAACCTGGGCTACAGTATGGTTCCCTGTCTTCTTCAAGATGTAGTACCTATTTTATACTGTCGCAGACTAACAATTCAGTAGACAATTGATTTGTTACAGTAGACTTAGACAGGCGTATACATGTTTGGTGGTAAAGGAGAGGCTTTTATCTCTTCGAGGATTTTATTTTCATTCATTTTTTTTTTATTTTTTGTTGTTGTAATGCGGCATCCATTATTTTTGTTCTCCTCATTGTTTTGGCCCCAAGAAGATGTGAGACCATATTCTAATGAATAAGAGGATGTTTTTAGCTGCAGTGTTTTGCAATTGAGAACCTTGCAACCTTGCCTTTTGACTTGATAGAATCATGGAAGTTCATTGTAAATTTATTTTGTTTTTAAAGAGACGTGTTGCCTGAAACTGAAAGGCTTATCTTTATTTAAGTTGGTCGTAATGATGTTTTCAATGTAGTCTTCATTTGCTTGCAAATATAATTAAGGAAAAAGAATGATTTCCTTGGAAAATGATATTCAATAGGAAGAGAAATCATATTCCTAATTTCCTGGTGTTTTTCTTTCGATTGGTACTGGTTTTCCTGGTATTTTGCTTAATTTGTAGAACAAAAAATGAATTAGATGAGGTTACCAATAAAAAGAAAAGGAATAGTTGAGGAATGCATGAGTAGGGGCCATTACTTGGTGAAATGGTAAAACCTCAGGCTGCCAAATATGAGAATACAGGTTCAAGTATGAGAGTGACCACTTTGCACATACACACACACACACACAAAAAAAAGAAAAGAAAAGAAAAGAAAACCTTGAATTATTTTACCACCCAGACAACATTTTTCTTTGGATTTCCCATTTGTCTTTTAGAGCAGTCTTCTGCTTAGACCAAGTTACTTGTTTTAACTGCTGCAGCCAATGGTTGCCTATGTACATGAACACACCATCTCAGTTGATTTTCCCTCATCTTGTCACTAATTAGCTCTACTCCCAGGTTCTCACTTGTGTACTTAGTTCTGACTCTCCTTTCTAGTTTTTCCACTCATCCATCTGAACTTATTTATCTCAGTCACTCTTATTTATGAGAGAGGTAAGCATGCTGTCCCACTATTGTTAAATGGTTTTATCACAGGGAAAAGTAAAGTTATGTTTTACTTGCCATTTGCTAAAATTTCCAATTTGTAAATACATCAAACCAACCTCATTTGTAAATATCAAGGCTTCAAAGCAATGAGAACAATGATTGCAGTAATTATTGAAATTGGATTTTGATCACGTTCAATATGAAATAATGTTTTCTTTACTATGACCTTATCTACTTTGAAGGAAAGCATAAACGCTTAGCTAGAATTTGATTACATTTATAAAAAAAAGAGAATTCGGTTACATACTTTTCCTGTACCAGTGAATTTAACCTAGACTTCTTAGACTATGTAGGATTCTACTTGGTCTAGCCTAGAAAACCATTTCTACTCTACCTGAAGCATTAACCAAAGTTTTGGTGCAGATGACTAAGGGAAAATTATTGTACACTTATTGTAGATCCTGAACTCACAGGGGCCTAGGTATTCAAGATAGGGTTCCTGTCAAATGGGAGAAAGTATGCAGGCCAACATCTCATGGGGGCCTGGGTGTCTTTAGAGTTCCTCCTTGTTCTGTCTGACCCCTATTGGTTATTAAATTTTGGCAGTTTTAAACTAACAAAGATTTCATGGCCTGATTCCAGCTTGATCAATCCCTTTATATCTGCTTCAATTAGATGCTATTTTTATGGGTTTTGCATGGCAAATTTTAAATATCCAGTGAATAAAAAGCTTGGGAAAAAAATTAGCTCTGCAGAAAGAGAACTATCTTTCTAAAGGAGCCAAGTTGACCTAGATTTGAGTGCCAATCCTCTGTATGGGCCATCTAAGTTTTGTATCCAGATTTAGCTTCCAGTTTTGTCTATTTGGCATCCAAGAATTCCATATCAGTCTTGTCCTCATCTTCCAATGATGTCCATCAATAAGGTGCAGAACTGGCCCACATGCTAGTTTTTTTTTTTTGATCAATTGGCCCACATGCTAGTTGAAGTTCATTTGTGGAAAAGATGCATATAAAAGGGCAGAGCTCCTTGGAGCTGATACAGTCATGCATTTGATAGCATATGCAACTAGTTGCTTGCAATGTCACGTATGGATATGAGAAATAAGAAATGGTTCAGGCAGTGAAAGCCACCAATGGATACAAGCGGTGATGAAGATAGGAATTAATGGTGGTTCCAAAGGAACAAAATGACTAAATAGATGAAAATCTAAGCTCTGTTTTCACCAAATATCTTGCAATTCAAAGTACAAATTCTGAAATTTTTGCCAGGATTTGTTTACATGTTTTTTAAACTTAGAAAATGAAATTTTAGAGAAGCAGTTGTCTCAGAAAAGAGAAAGAAAAGCTTCTTTTCTTATATTATATTTCAAAGGGATTGATTTCAAATAACTTTAGGTTAAGAACTGCAATTCTCATTACATTTTTGCCCTGCCATTGAACCACTATCACAAGTTGCCATCATTTGAACCATCTCCTATTGGAAGTTGAAAAAGACCATGACCCAGCCTATTCGAGTTCCTTAATTCCCTCTTGTGAGTTACTGTTAATTCAATAGTGTCTTATGAGGTGCTGCAAACCAAACATGGACATGATTTCCACTGCTAATTAAGTTAACTAGTTCCTCAGTTCTACTTATGTGCTTAGTTTGCCATAAATATGCTTTTTCTTTGACTTTGGATGAATGCAAGTTTTGGATTTGAGAAGTTTGATACAGTCAAAGGTAGAGAGGTTAGGGCAGAAACTGGGTTTTCAAGATCACCATCTCCAGTATTATTGGTGCCATGTTCTGGTCATTCCTTGGTTAGTGTGTTATAAGGTTTTGAATTTGTTGTTTATTCTCTCTTGCATGTGAGTTTCTACAAGGAACTATTAAATCAGTTGTACGTAATACTCAGCATTCAGTGTGATGCCAAATCTTCTTGGTTAGTAACAGGCCCTCTTTTAGTGGGTAGTTCCCATCCGTACTGTTCCATTTATTGGATAACAGTTCAGTCTGCTGAGCCAATCTGCTGACTTGGCTCCTTTCTAAAAGGCCTCTTACCTGCCTTCACATGGACCTTCAATATCTTAAATCTACTTTGGCTGGTTGTCAATCTTAAGTCTCTACCACATATATATTTTAATAAAATAATCGATTCTGTATATTGATTCTTGTTGGCCTGTTATATTACTTAGAACAAACATAAGAGAAATTTTGCATTGTCTAGTATTATAATCAGTGGCATTATGCTGTTTAGGATTTAGAAATGCAATTGTATAGTACTTTTTTTTTTTGGTTTGGAATTGTAAAATATTTCTATCACCTATTAGCTAGGACCTAATGTACCATGCATGTTTCTGGTTTTTGCAAAGAGAAGGTATGACAACCATGACAGGCTTTTAGGTAGAAGACACTCACAACAACAAATTACAGCTATTGCTGCGGTTCTTTTAACAGGGGTCGTCATAACTATCGCAATATAGGATTTTTTTAGTAGCAATTATTGAGAAACATTGTTATTCAACCATGAATATAATTTTTTAAGCAATGGTTGCATTACTGGCACTAATATAATCCCACTATAACATGATATAACGCCGCTATATCGTGTTAATCAAATATTAAAAATATAAATTATAAAAATTTAGGCATGCTCTTATCCTTTTTCTCCTGCACCTCATTCTTGTTTTTTCCCCATTCAATCCCTTTTCCTTTTGGCTTTTTCTTCTATTTCCTCTTTCTTCCACACTCAAATGCTTTTCAACGTCTTTCCTCTTTCTCATAGTTACTTTAAGTGGAAGAATTGGGATGCTGGAGGGAGAGAAGCAGACAAGCGACTCCAAATCTCTTCAGTTTGTAGATCCGGTGGTGATAACTGTAGATTCAACCTTGAAAGTTTCATTTACATTTAGGGACAATGAAACTGCTCTGTTTCTTGGTTCTCTTAATGATCCGACTTCCCTAGTTTTCTTCTGTATCGGAGTTGCTTATGGAATGGCAAAAAGTGGTGCTGGCCTGGCCACCATTGGTGTTATGAGGCCAGAGCAGGCTATGAAGTTGATTATTCTCATCATTATGGCTAGGGTTCTGGGTTTTTATAGAATGTTTTTTACTAAAAACCATTACTAGAATAAATCCTAGGACCAAGTCATATTATCTTTTTTGATGGTTATCCACAACTTTCATCTGGCCTTGCTGGGCTTTCTGCTGGAACGGCAAACACTATCTTTGGTGATTCTGGTGGTAGGTAATGCTTTTGATTTCTTGATTTTATTTTGATTGGAAAGTGGTCTCTTTCCCTGTTTTGTCATTGCCTTAGAGCTTATTCTTTGAGTTGGTTTGGTTTGTTGTGCTCTGTCCAAATTTTCTAACTCATAATCAGAATACTTTATTTTGTTTAGAGTTTTAATCTGGATGATCTGTTTTAATCTGCATGAAATTTGTACCTATTGGAAATGTTTATGCAAGTCTCAAGGTAATTATGGAAAAATGTGTTTAAAATGTTTGGATTTTAATCCTCAAGCAATAGCTTGTATGAGCTTTCCACCATGCTCCTAATAGTTGGCAATACTTTCCCATTTCTTCCTTTTTTGTGTGTATGCATATTTTCATAGGGCTCTAAGCCTCTGAGGTAGCTCCTAATGCTCGGCTTCCTTTCTAATGACTATGTTCCACTTAATTGGTTATTTACAATGTAGTGAATGTACAGGAAATTCTAACCATGAAATTCACATTGCCCGATGTAAGACTATGTTCCACTTAATCTAGGTAGTTCTTGTGGGTTTCTTTGTCAAGACCCTTTTTTTAAAGGATGGAAGAAGCTGCACTTCAAAGTCTACAAACATTTTTTGGGGAGAAAAAATAGTGATTACATGATAGTCTTACCCTGAACCTGATTGATGGTGGGAAGTCTTATCCATCCTGAACAATGTTTTCAACCTGCCGTTGACCCGGCCAGTCGAACCGTTTGAACCATAACCCAGCCGGGATTTTGGGTCCTGTTCAGTCAAGACCTTTCAAACGGTAAAAAACTGTTGACTTGATCAAGAACTGTTCGACCTGGCCGGTTCGACCATTGACCCGTTCGACCCGGTGGCAGGGTCGCGGATTGCACACTCAATGCATGCAAAACTTTCGGAGGCCATAGCTTTGCACTCCGATGTCCGATTGGGGTGATTTGTTTTTTATTTTGGGAAACTTTTTGAGATCTACGCATCCCAAGGAGGCAAGAAGCCGATTTTCGTGATAAAACCCCTTTTTTGGCCTCAAATTACAATTTTAATATTTTTATAAATAAAAAAATTAAAAACTGAATTAAAAAACATAAATTAAATATAAAATAATGAATATAACATATCTAAAACATCTTTATACATTATTTATTGCTAAAATATA